ATTGAGTTACCCAGGTTACCCAGTCTTAAGTGTAACGATATACAGTAGATAATGTTGTAATGCTGTAATGATGAGAAAAATTAATTTAACGTTAACGGTAAAAAAAAATTTTATCTTTAATTTAGCCAATCGGAATTACTGACAATCAGCCAATAAACCGCCCCTATGCCAAGAATATCATTATTAAATCCAGAAATCATGATTGTATCAGAAGAAATTCACGATACCAGATGGCACGCTTTTTGAATCTTTTGCCTTATGTACTTTCAAGTAAAAGATATTCAAAACTCGTAAAATTACTGGCGCCAATTTTAAAGAAAACCGACATAAATTTGCCAACAGTAGAAGAATTTCATGTTATTGCCAAGTTAGTCCTGTTGATATCTTGATCACAATAAATTTCAAGTTGACTTATTTTACGTAGACACAAATTTTCGTATTTAGTGCTAGGCCACATAACCACCACACACCTTTTAGTACACTATGGTGTTCGCATAATGAGTGCTTACCTAGTGATACTAGAGTAGGAATTGCGAACTTTTTCAAAGTTTATATTATTGCGTTTTTTGTGACGATTATAACGCAGATACCTGCAGGTTTTAGGAAGGAAAAAAGGTTTGTACGAATAAAATATACTTTAAATTTGATTATTACGCGTTTACCATTAACGTTTGCCAATTTGCATATTTCATGATAGATTTCAGCAAATAATTAATATTAAACTTACTACATCTTCTGCACGGTTTGCACTCTCAGTTTCTTCTTATTTTGTAATATATAAAGCTTTACTTCGTTTCTTTACACGCGTCTTTGACCCTTTGCTTGGTCCTCGAAACAACTTGAATATTAATGATGTAGCATGTTCACCCTTGGTTCCTCCATTTTTTGCTGGTTTGTTTGCGGGTCCTTCATTACTTTTTGATAAAGATCAATCGAGAAGAATTTTTATTGCTACCTCTATATTGTGCAAAAGTTTGCAAACTGTTTACTATACACTGAGACAAAATGGTTTTATTCCTATAATGCCATGGTGGTGGGGATCATGGATGCTTTTTCCAATCAGTTCTGCTCAGCTCATATATGCTTATTTGGTTCATCCAGATATTTTTCCTGTTAGTAAAGTCAATCAATTTTTATTATGTTTTTTTTTTTTTGTTTCTTCCAGGCTCAATAATTGAACAATCAAATCATTATATCAATTTTATTATTAGGATAACTATTCAAA